ACACACACACACACACACACACACACACGCACGCACGCACGCACGCACGCACACACGCACAATGTAAAAATCTTAAGAAACTATATTTAGTGGAATAGTGGGGTGGAATCCAGCTTCTGCCACACATAAAGAAAGCAGTCAGGTGGTGGTGGCACACACCTTTCATCCCAACACTTGGGAAGCAGAGGCAGGCAGATCTCTGTGAGTTTGAGGCCAGCCTGGTCTACAGAGCTTGTTCCACGACAGCCAGCGCTACACAGAGAACCCTGCCTCGAAAAACAAAAATTAAAACAAGAAAGAAATGAAAGTGCATAGGGAGAAAATAAAAGATGCTATAAAAATAAGTCTGAACAGAGGAGAAATATGACAGAAAGATATTGCATGCTTAGTGAAAAGTTCTTTTTGAAAACTGGAATATAAGCTGGGTATCCATGGTACCAATTTCCAATTTACCAAGCTCCATGGAAGGATTTTGGCCTGTAGCATGTGTGACCCCGAGTTCCAATCCCAGCACAAGAAAAAAAAGAAGGAAGCATACATACATGAAGGAAAAAAATTATATTCTTTGCTCATTTTAGGTCATTTTTCATGCTGTGCTTATATCCTTGGTCTCTTGACAATGAATTAAAAGTCTAAACCTTAAAAAATACAATTTCAAGGTAAATGTATTATGTGCAGAGAAAAATGTCTGGACTTATTAGTAAAATAAGAATGAAATAAAATGTAGGGAAAAAAATCAAACACTTCACTGTGCAGTCACTGTGTAAGTCCTCGTGTAACATCTGAGTGTGTATGGAGGGCAGTAGTGGGAATGGCTTCTCCTGCCATTCCATCTCCTCTTAGGCTCCTGGGAACCATGTAGGACCAAGCTGGGAATGGAGTAGAGGAGACAAGACTCGGACAAGGCCCCTGCCTTAGCTGCTTTCCCCTGTAGCATGAATTCTAATCAGTATTAATAATAATAAAAAAAAAACCCTGAGTCAGGTATTAGGGGGGAAAGCTGAAAAAGATCAGAGAAGCAAAACAGGCAGCCACTAGTTCTTACCTGTACTGAATTCTCAGACCAAAGGGGTGATCCTGTCTCTAGGAATCCTCAGACTGACTGCCTAGACTGCATCTGTCTCTACAAATCCTCAGACTGCGCTGAGCTCCTGTCTCCTCCCGCCTTATATTCCTCTCTCTGTCCAGCCATATCACTCCTGTCTTGACCTCCTCAGTGCTGGGATTAAAGGCATGCCACTCTATCTATGTGCTTGGATCACCTTTGTGTGAGCTCTGTTTCTCTTTTAGACTGGATCGATTTCATGTAGCCCAGGGTGGCCTTGAACTCACAGAGATCCATCTGCCTTTGTCTCTGAGTGCTGGGATTAAAGGTGTGTGCTATCACTGCCTGGCCTCTATGGCTAACTAGTGTGACTAGCTTTGCACTCTGATCTTCAGGAGAGCTTTTTGTGTTAGATCATAAACAAAATATCACCACATTCCCTGCTGCTGTGATAACACACTTTGATAGGAGCAACTTCAGAGAGAAAGGGTCTGCTTTGGTTCACAGTTCAGACTCCACACTGCCATGGTGGGGGCATCAAGGGGTCAGGAGCTTGAGGTGGATGGTCACACCCCATCCAGTCAGAAAGCCAGCAACCATGAGTACACAACAGTGTTCAGTTTGCTCTCTCTGTCTTGTACAGTCCAGGATCTCTTGCCCAGGGCATGGCCCCACCTGCAGTAAGATGGGCTGTCCCATGCCAATTAATGTACTCAAGATTTAACTTCCACAGGCCCATCTTCGAGGTGATTCTAGGTTCTGTCAAGTTTGCAATTGATTTTGGTCATCAAGGCCCCTCGCTACCCTTGGCTGGTCTAGAACTCACAAGAGGTCCACCTGCCTCATCCAAGTGCTGGGATGCCAAGCCCTTTCTTTATTTTGTGCACTTCAGCTGATTATTGTCCTTACCCGGCCCTGGACAGGGTGAGAGGGAAGGAAAAAGAGAGAAAAACAGACAAACTATCAACAGAAACTCCCCAGTTTGCTGACTCCTCACTCTGCTTTTATTTATAGCATGTATCTTACATTTTCTTTCTTTTTTAAAGAATTTATTTATTTATTTATTATGTATACATAATTCTGCTTCCATGTATATCTGCACACCAGAAGAGGACACCAGATCTCATAACAGATGGTTGTGAGCCACCATGTGGTTGCTGGGAATTGAACTCAGGACCTCTGGAAGAGCAGCCAGTGCTCTTAACCACTGAGCCATCTCTCCAGCCCTTACATTTTCTTTTACTTCAACAACCAGAAAGACAATTAGCTTCCTCCTGTAGCCTCTTCTGATCTATTTTATGATTTATGATTATCTTCAGACTCAGGACCTAGCTGAATTACTTGCCATTTATTTCTTTGTTTCTGCTCCCAATGAGTTACTTTTCTTGAATGTTCTTGGATGTACATGCACAATTATAGTCCTAAATGATCCTAAAGACACTGTTGAACTATTTCTTCATTTTTATTGCCTCTCTTCTATTGGTTCACCTTACTTTTACTCAGTTAAAATGTCTAAAGGTGGGGTTTCCCTGTGCTGTCCACGTTGGTCTCAAACACCCGGGGCTCCAGTGCCTTGTGTCTTAACTTCCCAAGTAGCTGGGACCACAGGTGTACCACACTACATCCTGCCCATTCACCTTATTTTTAGATCATGTCCATACAGGCAAAAAATATGTATTGACATGATACATTTGAATTTATTTTATAATACACAGAATGAATACTCTATTATAAATGCAATCATCCTATGATATCTCTTTCCCCTTATTAATATTCAGGTCAAATCATGATAAAATACATTATCAGAACCAATTTCAAATAGTCTTTCTGCAGCCTTCTTTGGAATCTATGCATTTCCTGTTTTGAGTACCAAATAGGAACTCTTGCTCTTTATCACCTAAGTCATCCTTTTAACTATTCATATACACGGGGTGAACATTTTGACTATTCTGCAGCAGTGCCAACAGATGAACATACTATCAGAAAAGAAATGCATTGTGGAAATGTAGGGCAAAGTGGCTTAATGGATCCTAATCTATGCATCAGGTATAAATACAACTTCCTTTTTGATTAACTTGGGAATCAAATTTTCCCTCACTAAGTAGTAAAGTGCTCAGCTTTGGATGGGAACTAAAAAGCCAGCAAAGGCCCTAGCAACTTAGCACGTAGGACTCACGTTTCTGTGGGAAGGGATTACTCTATCAAGCAAAATAAATCTGATACAGATCTGTACCCTCTTCTCCAGGGGGCAGGGGAATATGAAATCTCACAAAAGCACAAGTCCTGTGGGCGTGCATGGCGGAACATGCCTGTAATCTCAGCAGTGGGGAAGTTGAGGCAGGAGGGTCACTGGGGGTTTGAGGTCAGCCTGGGCTAGATAGAGTTCAAGGTCAGCACAGGCTATACAGTGAGACTCTAAAAAAAACAAAAATGAAAACCAACATCATGTAAACGTAAGAACCAGAGGTGATGAGAAGAATCCAGAAAAGCCATGTTCTGAAAATGGAACAATCCAACTAAGTCATACTTACGGGGTTAGGGACACTCAGCAGAAGAGCACATGCCCAACATGCATAAGATCCTAAGGTTAATTCCTAGTAACACACACACACATACACACACACACACACACACACACACACACACACACACACACACACACACACACACCCATACACACACACACACACACACCCATACACACCCCCACACACCCACCCATACAAATGAACCATGCTTTGTCAAATCACTATAGCCACGATTCCTTAGCAAGCTTCTTTAAAATACAAGTTCAAAAGCCCCTCCCTGGACCTGTGTGAAACCACACAGATTGCAGCCCACCTCTCCCCAAACATGTAAGAAGACACTAAATCAAAAGATGTTTGTTTCTGATCACCTAGTACAATCTCCCTCCTGGGAGTCTATTAGGCTGTTCTGCATCTGTAATTTCCTTGAAGCGCTGTCACTTTTAATAGGTATGTGTCTTGCCAGAATATGCTCTCTTCATTCTGACAGTGACAGAAAGCTCGCTAATGAAGCATTTGACCAGTTTCTCTCTTAAACGTGTGAAGGAAGGAGAAACTGCATTTAAAAGGCTGCATGTTAAACATAGCAGAGTTCACTAATAAATTCTGGGATTGTCATTTCTGCTTTGATAGTTCTAAAAACCACGACTGATAAAGGAGCTTTACACATTAGCATTGCCCTTTCGTCTTCATTTACCTGTCAGGGTGAATAGAAGAGAGCACAAAGACAAGGAGAATGACATCTAGGATCCCATCTGGAAAAGGGTAGGCTAAGCCGTCATCGCACACATCGTGAACAAAGGCAGAACAGTGGGCCTCACTGTAGGACGCATGTGACTGTCATGATGAAGGAATAAAAAACAGGAGTTAGCAGACTTTCAGGGTTTTTTGTTTTGTTTTGTTTTCTTATCTTTTTTTTTTTTTTTAAATAAAGGTCATTTTTAAAATATCCTTTCTTGGATCAGTGAGATGGCCTGGTTGGTAAAGGTGCTTGCTCTCGGGACCCACATGGTGGAAGAAGAGACCTGACTCCCCAAGTTGCTCTTTCATTTCCACATAAGCCCCCTGGTATGTATATTCCCTATCAACAAAATAAGTAAGTGTAATAAAGATTAACATTTTTTTCTCTCTCAAGCATGTTTCATCTGGGAACTTGAACCAACTTCATTTCTAGTTCAGTATTCTAACTTATTTCAAGCTGTCCTGAAAAAACAAAAACCAAGCCAGACAGTTGGTGCCACACACCTTTAACCTCAGCACTTGGAAGGCAGAGGCAGGCAGATCTTGGTGAGTTTAAGACCAGCCTGATCTACAAAGTGAGTTCCAAGACAGCTAGAGCTACACAGAGGAATCAAAAGCAAACAGACCCTTAAAAAAATTAGATTTACATTTTTTAAAAAAATTATCTTTATGTGTATGAGTATTTTGTCTGCATGCATGCCTGTGCCTGGTGCCTGCAGAGGCCAGAAAAGGACACCAGATCCTCTGAGGATGGAGTTACAGATGACAGTGAGACACCATGTGGGTGCTAGGAATTGAACTAGGGTCCTCTGGAAGAACAACAAGAGCTCTTAACCACTGAACCATCTCTCCAGCCCAAAATTAGACCTTTTGATTTTATTTATTTATTCTATGTGTATGGGCATTTCTCCTGTGTGTATGTCTATGTATCATGTGCCTGCCTGATGCTCTCAGAGTGAGAAGCAGGTGTTAGATCTCTTGGAACTGGAGTAAGTGACAGTTGTGAGCCTCACCTGGGTGCTGTGGATTAATTAAATCCAGGTCCTTTGGAAGAACAGTGTTCTTAACTGCTAAGCCAATCTCTTCAGGATTCTCAAGTTAGAACTTTCAAAGCATCTATTTATTCATTTATTTAGTTTTTGGGTTTGTTTTGTTTTGCTTTTCGAGACAGGGTCTTGCTATATAGCTTTGGCTGTCCTGGAACTCACTCTGTAGACCAGGATGGCTTTGAATTTACAGAAATCCATTTGCCGCTGCCTCCCAAATGCTGGGATTAAAGGTGTGCAGCACCACCACCCTGCTCTCTCTTTATTTTTAATTTATGTGTGTATACATGTTTGCGTTTGCATGTGTGTGTTTGAGTGTTTGTAGGCATGTGTGTTCATGTGTGCGTGCCTGTGTGTGTGTGTGCGTGCCTGTGTGTGTGTGTGTGTGTGTGTGTGTGTATGTTTGTAGGTCAGCTATCAATACCAGCAATCCTTTTCAATTGCCCTCTACTTTGTGTTTTTTTTTTTTTTCCAACTTTTTTATTTGAATTGGAAACAGGATTGTTTTACATGACAATCCCATTTCCCTTCTCCCACCCGTCCTTCTACCTTGTGTTTTGAGGCAGTGATTTGTCTAGGTTGTCTGGCCAGAAGCCCCAGGATCTTCCTGGCTCTGGCTCCTCAGTGCTGTAATGACAGGTACACCCCAGCTTTTTAACATGGGTGCTAGGGATCTGAACTCAGGTCTTCCTGCTTGTGTGACAAGCATGGTCATCTCCTCAGCCCAAGCCACCCTTTAAAGATTTATAAAGCATACCTTTACAAGCTCCACAGCTTCAGGGGCAAAATCACAGCAATAAAGAAAGGATCCTGGAATGTTCCTATGCAAATGGAAAAGGCATTTAAAATGCAGAGGCAGCCATGTTCAAACTGGAGAAGGTGTGACAAGCACTTATCATTGCAGGTAACTTTGAAACTCCTGTCCTGTTGAAGAAGTGCCTGGTGCTGTCTTACTCCATGCTCACCTGGAAATTTCTAAGCCCACCCTCCCACCTTGTCATTCTCCCCCATGCCTGGCATGCACAGCTCTGCCTTCTCCAAGCCCCTCCAACCCTGTGTCCCTCATTCTTTCTTTATTTGCAACTTGTTTGGCGTTTGAATCTTTCCACACAGGTGCTCTGATGTTCGGACAGGGCAGAAGCACATATAATTTTATCATGGCAATAAATGCAATTTCTAAAACAGAATCAAACTCTAATACATGTTATTATCAAGCATTTATTGAACCTAATATACACCAAGCATGAGAATATGAAGTAGGAAATAAAGTTACCTAATTCAACTACTGAGATTGTGTGTTAAGGAGCAAAGCAGGCCTGTATAGGAATTCTGGATTTGCTACTTCTTTATGAATTTAACTTTTCTGAAAATCAGTTTCAGAAATTTCTTTTTTTACATGGGAATGTTCACCCATGTGAAAATCTTGACTAATTTTAATCAGTCTCCAAACTTAAACACATTCTATTTGGCATTTGACATCCAGAAATGATGGCTGGACTCTGTGTTGTTCATGGACAGGCAGATACTACAAACTCTGTATGTTGGTATCAAACAATCTTTGTATCACGCTGCTTAGAAAAGTTCTGGATTGCTGAAAACAGGTGAGTATGTCACTATCCAGTGACTGTAGGTGAAAGCATGGGTCTGGCTCTTGTGGATTGTATATTTGGGGGCATGGCTGGTTTCATACAACTTTTAAAGGGGGAGAGGACCAGCATCCCAAAGTGTCTAAGTCTTGAAAGTTTTATTGGGACAGGTTGGGATTGCTAACTGAGAATCAGAGTGGCACAGGGCTTAAGGGTGGGATCATATGCTAGGAGTAAGAAGTACACTGATCTAAAGAGTCCAAACTGGCTTGTGGAGAATGTAGAGAGAGGTCTGAAGCACAGATTAAGCTTCTTAATTTGATTCAAGAGACATTTCAGGCAAGGTGGACTTCTAAGTAAATAAGGAATACAAGCAAAACTACAAATATAGCAGCCCTGACTTAGATTATACTCTTAAAAGCTACCTGCTGATAAATACTATAATTCACATATAATTCATCTATTCTGCGGCACTAGGATTTGCATTCGACTTAAGATCTGTCCACACTAGTAGAAGTATAACAAGAAGGACTTGATTATGGAAAGTCAGCCAGCACTAAATTAAAGTAAAAGATCACAGCTCGTGGTTTTGTTTTGTTTTTCATTTGTCTCCTATAAAAACTATGCTTTGTTGGGCAGTAGGGAACCTGACTCTCCTCCCAGCACGTAGGAGGCTGAGGCAAGAAGAGTCAATGTTCAAGGTCATCTGGGCCACAGAATGAGTGAGCCTGTCTCAAAAAAAGAAAGGAAGAAGTATGTAAGTACATCTTAGTACTTTACTCTAGCATAGACTTTGTGATATATCATGAAACCCATATCACTGTGACTTGTGAGCTACTGAGTGTTGTGTGCCTATGAAATGTGCTCAGTTAGTACTCTGTGTGTGTGTGTGTGTGTGTGTGTGTGTGTGTGTGTGTGTGTGTGAGAGAGAGAGAGAGAGAGAGAGAGGCTGAGGAGGAAAGGCCTCTGGAACCAGGCTGCTCCATGCCTAACATTTGGCTCCACCATTACTAAGTGATATACTGGGGATGGTTTCTTAATCTGTCTGTAACTGTTTCTCCATCTTTAAATAGAGGTAAGTGTGATGTTTAAGGTAGCTGGGAGGGTTGAATGGATCTACATGGTAAGGTTTCTAAAAGACTCATGGCTCAGAAAACAAGCACTCAACAGATGTCAGCCATTATTATAGCTGTTGTTGCTATTATTGTTATTATTTTAAGGAAATCTGCTTTTGCCTCCCAGGAACTTAAGACTCAGATGGCCCTCTAAAAATGTCTATATAATTCAGAATGTCTTTCTGGACTCTAGTCCAGCTAACACATGTGAAAGGCCTGCCATCTACCTTTGAGGAGTGACAGAACACCTACTGGACCTAGGATAATCTAGCAGCTAAAGGAAAGCATGTGCCATGTGTCCGTTCTATCAAGGTGACAGCCTGACCTCTGAGATGGAATTCTGACTGCATCAGCATCCCAAGCTGCAGACTTGTGACCACCCCATGACCTTCCAAGCCTTTCTGTAAAGTCAGCTGATGGCCTTGGCTCTTCTCCCAGTAACTGGTGTGCACGTCACTACCACCACCACACCAGCAGACACTGTCTTGGAGGAGGTTTAAGAAAGAAATGATCCCTGGAGAATGATCTGACCCTTCAATTCCAATGTTCTAATTATGGTGAAATATTCTCAAAGTGTAACACATTAATCCTGGGGGTGGGGCGCTTAATTCTCCCTTTGGAAGGCCCGTCACTGTTGGCTTTTAAAGATAAATTATTTCCCCAGGTTATTAAGCACACCTGTAATCCCAGTAATGGAGGATAAAGATGGAAGAATCTTGTTTGAGGCCAGCCTGATGTTTATAGCAAAACCTTGTTGGATAAGGAAGATGAGGCGGAAAAAAAAAAAAAAAGAGGAAAATAAGGAGGAAGGGAAGAGGACAGAAAGGGGTGCAGAAGAGGGAGGGATTTAGAACTTTCCATTAGGAATTAACTCAAAAAAGAGGTGAGGCCAGGCATGGTGGTGCATGCCTTTAATCCCAGCACTCAGGAGGCAGAAGTAGGCCTTGTCTACAGAGCAAGACAGCTAGGGCTATGCAGACAGACCCTGTCTCAAAAGACAACGAAACAAAAACAAAAACAAAGAAAAAGAAAGGAAGGAAGGAAGGAAAGAAGAAAAGAGAAGTGAAAGTGCAACTAATACAGACCTATAATCAATACATATTGAGCTCTTGTTATATCTTACTGTTAGGCTACCTGGAATATACAAAGTAGACCCTCAAGAAATTTAAGAACAGCATTCTTAATAATAGCTTGAGAACAGGCATAGAGCCAGTATGGGGTCACCAGGGTGAAGGGACCTGGCCATGTGATACAGGAGGATAGAAAACTTCATCATGGAAGCTGGAAAAGGGAAGACAAGACAATAAATACAAAGAGTATGACTATCCCGATTCGCCAGCACCTCCTGTGCCCAGCCCCAGCAGCTGCCGGTAGAAAACATTAGGGAAGCACTGTATGTTACACTGGATATACAAAAGCATCAATGAATAACATGATGTTTTGGAGATGCATCCTAAATCCAGAGGTGGCATGATTTTGACATTATGGTAGTAATTGTTGAATCAAGGTGGTGGATTTATGGAAATTCACTATACTGTTCTTTGCCTTCCCAAATGTGATGGAAAGTTAAAAAGATCATATTGTTAAGTTAAAAAGATATGCATGCAGACTGGAAATTGCACAGCAGCTATGTTAGCCCGATGGGGACGCCTCACCTCCTCCTGATAGAAGGTCCCCGAAATAGGCTTATGTTGATTTTAACAGGGAAATGATATGACAGGTATTGTATGAACTTAAAGAAAGAATTGGAGAGATCAGAGGAGGTCAAAGATATAGAGAGTCTTGTAAGGGGTGGCTTCATCACTGAAACACTAAAACACCAAGGTGAGACTGGTGGTGACCTCGAAGGGGGCGTAAGGAGGACATCTGTGTGTCCTCATCTAGTTCTACCTTCCATCTATTTCTACTTTCCTGCTTGGGCTCAGCACTACCACTCCAGATGACTTTGAGTCGAGGCACAACAATGTGCTGTGCAAAGGGTGTATGTGTGTGTGTGTGTGTGTGTGTGTGTGTGTGTGTGTGTGTGGGAGAGAGAGAGGGAGAGAGAGAGAGAGAGAGAGAGAGAGAGAGAGAGAGAGAGAGAGAGAGAATGAATGTGTCTGTGTGTGGTGTTCTAGTGACACTGATACCATATGATGAGGAGTGAGGTGTGTGCTCCAAACCTAGTTCTCTGAGTAAGGTACCATCTGGTACCCAGGAAGAGCACACTATGTCTGATGTTAAGCAAAGCACAGCTTGGTGGAAGGATGGAATCTCTTGCTCTTTTCTCATTCTGTCTTCTACGTAAACACAAGTTTAAAAACTACTTCAAACCCATGGCTTCAGAATGCTTTTTCAGAATGCGTCCCAGTTCATGAGATGTTACTCACTAAGAATGTGTCTTTTGAAACTTGCTTTAGTCATGGTTTATATGGGAACTCAGAACTCTTGGCATAGGCATGACAAGGTATTCCTGAATTTTTCAACATCCCATAAATATATAAGATTTTGTAGGGGGAAACACTTCAAACTCACTGCAAGGTGTTCAGGATTGGAAAAACACTATTTCCAGCACCGCAGCCAACCTAAAATTGAGAATAAACAAATGTGAATGCACTACATTTCACTCCCAATATTGGATTTTCTATTTAAAAAAATAAACGATTACTAGATTTCTGGGTATGAGAACTTGTGAAACTCAAAGGTCAGAAGAAACAAATCACAACAGTAACAATCAAAGTTCAGCTGTGGAAATCTTTACAGACCCACAAAAGCCCCCTCCCAACTGAATTAATAAGTGCACAATGCATTGCAGACACCACAGGGCAATAAAGCATTTGCAGGAGCTATGATAAAGGGCAGTACTCATAAAACAGACAAGCCAAGGGGAGGAATGGGCAGAGCACAAACAACATGGGACCTCTTGATGTCTGAAGAACCAGGAGGCACACTGAGTGAGGAAAATGTATAAACTAAAGCAGGGTAAGAGGGGTCTGGAGATTCAGACCTGTAAGTTTGGAAGCTCAGGAGGCTGAGGTAAGAAGACCAGGCTATGGAGTGAGTCAGTCTGAAGTCAGCCTGAGCGATTTAGGGAGACTCTGTAGCAAAATGGGTTGGGTTGTAGAACTCATCTATCATGTTCAAGGCCTTTGGTTCAAACCCTATGAGTGACCGAGAGAGAAAGAAGGCTGTCTTGAACATGTATAATATTCTTGCTTCTGTCTCCTGAGTGTTGGGCTGTGGAACATGTCCCCATGTCTGGTCGTATTATATTAGTATAGCTTCTTAGAAAGCAGTTTGGGAGTCTGTTTTAAGAACTCTAAACCATTCCAAATATTATAAACTAGAGAATCTAACCCAAGATGGGAAAGGAAATGGAGGTAAAGTCTACACCCAAAGACATTTGCTGAGACAACAATTAATGCCAGAGTATGACAGCAGGAAAGTAAAAGTGAGTATGGTATCTCTCTTGCAGAAGACTGTGCAGCCATGAAAATGTTCATAGATAATGATTACAGGCGGACAACTGTTTATGATGTGATGTTAAATAGAACAATGCAAAGTCTCAAAGCTCACACACAGCCTAAACCAAAGCAGAAAATGTGGCTAAGTAACTTGTTCATGGGATTGTGAGTAATTGTATTTCTCTTATGTACTCTTGCAAATTCTCTGTAATCAACAACTGTTACCTGTAGAATCAGAAAGATGGGGTTTAGGTTCAAAAATGGAAAACCACTATCTACACTAGATTACAGCAAACTAAACTTCTGGCTTACTTTTTATTTTACCCCAACAGGGGTTAAAAAAAAAAAGAAAGAAAAGAGTAAATATTAAAACCAAAAGTTTATCAGGATTTAAAAACTGCCCCCAAGTTAGAAAATTGCAGCAAATTAAAGGGGGAAAAAGTAACACAAATGAAATTAAAGCCACAAACTTAAAACTTGATTGATTAAAGATGTGAGTCTGCCCTGAGTATGGCTTCTGTGTGCACTGAGAGTCTGATTAGGTCTGGTCTTTCCACCTGGGCAAGCTGGACTATTCATAAAATAGTGTGGGCTGTACACTTTCATACCCCATCACCTCCTGTCTTGTCCCTTGGACACAGTACCTCCAGTATTCGGAAAGTGGCATTGCTACCAGGAAAGTGCTCTGTCTTTCCAAGCCCTGTGTTGTGTTCTTCCGAGTTCAGGTTGGAAAAGTTAGACCTTCCTTTGCTCAGTGGGTCTGACGAGACACAGCTCTTTCTACAATGGGTTTCTGTTCCCTGCATTCTTGAGAAGTTGCTTCTGACTTGATCCCAGGATGATTCTTCCATTTTCTCTTTAGTGTTTTGATCAACTGGAAGAATTTCAGGAAATTCCCTCAACAGCCAGTTACGATCCTTGAAAAACTTATTCTTATGAGTCTGGTAAAATGTGTCCCAGTATTTGTTAGCATCATTTTCAAACTTAACTGAAACAGAGAGGAAAAAAAATCCATTTTACTATGAATTGTATTTACTATTGGTTGCTATTTTTGTAACTAAATACCTTTAATAATTAAATATTTAAGCCATATATGGTGATGCACACCTTTAATTCCAGCACTTGGCGGGGGGGGGGTGGGGTGGGGTGAGCCTGGTCTACAGCGCAAGTTCCAGGACAGCCAGTGCTACACATGTCTAGAACAACCTAAAATAAAATTTAAAATATTCAATAAAATACTATAAATATATTACATAAAATGAAAATGGCCCCATAGGCTCATAGGGAGTGACACTATTTGAAAGGAATAGGGTATGTGGCCTTGTTGGAGCAGGTCTGGCCTTATTGAAGTATATCACTGGGAGTGGGCTTTGAGGTTTCAGAAGCTTAAGCCAAGCCCAGTGGCTCACTCTCTCTTCCTCCTGTCTGCTAATCCAGATGTAAAACTCTCAGCTACCTCTCCAGCACCATGTCTGTTTACATGCTGCCATGCTTCCTGCCGTGATGATAATAGAATAAAGCTATGAACTGTAAACCAGCCTCAATTAAATGTTTTCCTTTATAAGAATTGCCATGATCCTGGTGTCTCTTCACAGCAATAGAACACTGAATAAGACACATATAATTATCAATAATTGCATTCTAAATTTAATAATTTTAATATTATTATAATAATTTTACTTATCTGACATAAGGCTAAAACATATAAAAGTTCATTAATTTTCCTCAAAAGATCAATATGTAAGATAGTTAATTCTACTCTTAAAAATCTATTTTTCTGCCAATAGTTGGCCATTCCATTTTGTGAGGAATAGAATCTTTGAGAATTATTTTCTGCAGCTGAGTTTTGAATTTTATATCTATCTTTCTCTCTATACATATATAATATGAGATACAAACAAGACAGGATCTCACTATGCAGCTTTGACTGGCCTGGAACTTGTTATGTAGATCAGACTGGCCTCAGACTCAGAGATCTGCCTTCTTCTGCCTTTGAGTACTGAGGCTAAAGGCATGTGCTAACACACCTGGCCTAACAAATATATTTTGTGTGGCTTTTTATTTTCTTAGAGGAAGTACCCATTCCAGTCTGTCTCTACAAATGCACTTTAAACCTGACAAATGTGCATACTGGTAATCAGAAAGAATGTGGGAATTATAAACGACCTAACATTAGAGCAAGAGAGTTACAGTTCACTCTTACTGAGTTCCTGGTTCTACATTTGAAGAAAGGAGCTGAAACTGCTTGTAGAGGCCACCCTGTAACCGCATCCCTCACCACACCCCCAAATCCAGAGGCATCTCTTTCTATTGCTGTCTCCAAGAGAATTACTGATGCCTTCCTGAATAGACAAGCTCTTAGGGATGTCATCCCTGGGTTAAGGGACCACAGTTATGTCAACGGTCTCAGAACTTCAGGCATTTCTTAGCCTTCTGTTTCTTTCCATCTCTACTGCGCATTAACAAAATGATTCAAACCAAGGATAGTAACACAGGCCTGTAATTCCAACACTTGGGAGGCTGAGGTAGGAGGATCACAAGTTAGAGCTAGTCTGAAATACACAAAGAATTTGAAGCCAGCTTGAACTATATCAAAAAACTATTGCCACGAATAAATCATGGTAGCACATATCTTTAAGTTTAGTACTTGTGATGAGTAAGGAGGTTCACAAGCTCAAATAAAAACCAAATAAATGAAAGAATAAGCTAAGTAAATAAAATAACTTGCTCACTCTATCTTTTATTGAACGGCCATTTCTTGACTCCAATTATGTAACGAGGCTAATCCTTAGGCTTAATCCATGGATTAAGAATTACCTTTACACTAGTAAGCAGACTCATGACATTTTAAAAGTGCTTTTCAAGTCTGCAAAGCCTCCTAATGAGTATGTAATGATCTCCAGGGTTTAGTGTTGGAGAAGAGTGGGGTATAGGGCAGTATGTGTATTATACCATTCACTGGAAGGAAGGAGGAGAGGAAGAAAACTGCATGTGTACACAAGCATGCAGGCACATGTACTCACATCCTCACTAGCATGCATAGGTACACAACAGCACCAGGCATGGTGGCTCATGCCTGTAATCCCAGTACTGGGGAGGCTAAGCAGAGAACTGTCACCAGTTTAAGGCCAGCTTGGCTACAAATTGGGACACTGTTTCAAACAAACCACAAGACCAAACAAGCAAATTTTAGAAACCCGTGGTTTAATGGAGAATTTTTGTTTAGTTTTGATCCATGTGAATTTACCATCGATTCCCAAACAATGCTGAACCACAAATAAAACGAATGGAATCCTCTCATTCATAATTTCAAAGAGTCTCAACCTATCAATCATGTAGCTGCCTGCAGACAGTGTCCTTCACTTCATGACTGTCCTGAAGCCCTCATAGTTTTCCTTCATTTTTATCCTTATGGCCTTGTCCCAGAGGCCTTCACTCATCCAGGCACACACTTCCTGAGTCCACTCTGGCAACAGAAGTTAACAACAGGCATTCCATTTGCATTAAGGTCTGAGGAATGGCAGTGGGCCCTATCACTATAAGGAATTGTGTGCTATTTAGTCTAAGCCATCATCACATCTGCATTAACCAAAGGAAGCCTATTTATGGTTAGTCCAAAAGTACATATTTATCTTGAAAATAGTTCTGTCTGTGTTCACTTCTAACAATCAAAGTGCACCTGTGTACTGTGGAAGGAAACAAAACAACATTCTGAAAATTAGACTCAGGAGGAAATAGAAAACTTCTAGATTTCCCAAGGGTTTTCTTACAACTTCTTGTCTTCCTTTGTCTTAAGAACTCTCTGCATAACTCACTCTGTGCAGACAGATTTTGTACTTAAGAAAAAGCAGCCCAAAGACCTACATTCAGAGCTAATGAGACCCACATTTAGTCGTATCTCTAGAATTTGGTTGTCCAATATGAATCTACTTATGAAGTGAAATTGAAATGAATCACCATTAACTAGAATTTAATACTACACTGTGGATGATCTCAAAGTGTATTCCCCTAAGAATTAACCAGGGTGGAGTAGGGAATTCAGGAGAGTAATGTGACAAAAATATGTGCAAACAGCTCTATTTATTGTAGGAAAGAAGTGATAACTAACTCAAATGGTTAGCCTGGAAATGAGCAAGCAAACTATACATGCCAAAACAGGGCAGACCTATGCAGCACCTGACACATACAGGATAATAAGAAGAAAAACACTCATACAATAGCTAAGACATTGGTGGCAACTTTTACTTTATTTTATATTCATTCAGAGTGGATGAAAGTTTGGAACAGGGTATTATAATGATTATTAAATAGCTCTATCTTTTACAAAGTTGTTGGCAAAGATAAAGAATAGTAAGGGGGGGCTGGGGAGATAGCTCAGTGGGTAACTACACTTGCTCTGCAAACATGAGAACCTGAGTTCAAATCCCCAGCACTCACAGGAAAACCTCCCATGGTTGTGCATTTCTGTAACCTCAGCATTGGGGGGTGGAGACAGGTAGAGCCTAAGAACTTACCAGCCTACCCAAAAAACCACAAGCAAGCAAGCAAGCAAGCAAGCAGGAAACAGTGAGCTTCTGGTTTACTGATAGTAAGGCTAAGTGTACTAGAGGAAGACATGTAACCTCCTGCTGTAGCTTCTACATGCCCACATACAGGCACATACACTTGTACACTTACATGCATGGAACACATAAACCCAAACACAGAACCTCATGTGAATTATCCATTCATCTTGTCAACTTCCTTTAATAAGAATCAGCATATCTGTACAGCCTGTTTAAGTCTCCCATATATTTATGTATGTGTGTGTGTGTGTGTGTGTGTATAAATATACATACATGAGAATTTATGGAAAACAAGCATTATCAGTTATTAATCTGGAATGATGCAACTGTAATAAGTTACATTCAAATAAAAACACATTGGGCACCTAAATTCAACCCTAGCTAGGTGTAGTGGTATACCCCTTTAATCCAGGCCTCAACAGACAGAGGCAGAGGCAGAGGCAGAGTCAGTCACACATCTGTGAATTCTAGGCGAGCCAGGGCTATATAGAGAGACCCTGTTTCAAAAACAAAACCAAACCAAAAATCAAGCAAACAAAAAATGCCAACAGTGGCACACAATTTCAGGCTCTATGTCAAATGCGTTTCTTAGATGTTTTTCCCATTTACTCCTAACAGTATTGTTACCTAGTGACCTATTGTAACCTATTGTTAACTATAGTATTATTAGCCTAGCTGAATTTCTACCTTGTCCTAATCTTGTTTTTCTTTGGGAACAGGATGTTTTTAAGGTTAGACGTTCTCTTCAGGTTAGCCAAAACCAACTGGCACTAAGATAGCTGATCATGATTTCTGGAGGCCTGTTCTTAGTGATCTAATTTACATATGAAGTAACACCCTACCAGGCTGCCTTGGAAAGAATCACCATACTCTAAAAGATGTGACAGTGCCTGAGAACTGCCATTGCCAGAAAAAAACATAGATATTACTCCCTACACTGACCTATTCTTCCCATTAACTAACTGCACAAATAACGGGTTTCATTGTGACATTTTCATACATGCATATAAAGCAGTTTAATCACAGTCATCCCATTAATCTTTCTTATCCTCCTTCTCCTCTCTCCTTGCTCCTCTTCTTCTCCCCCCATTTCACTTATCCCAAATCTATGGCTTACCTATGCCCCATGGGATGAGATCTATGAGCCCAAAACTCCCACTTGTCTGTGTGATGGACACTGAACAAACTTGGGTTCTTCCCATGAAGCTTCATTTTTACACTCTGGCTTTGCCACATCAAAGGAAGGAAGGAAGGAAGGAAGGAAGGAAGGAAGGAAGGAAGGAGACAATATTATTCCAATTTGTAGATAAGAAATTCAGTGTCAAAGAGCATGAGATATTTTCCCCAAGGTCACCTAGCTAAAAAAAGAAGTGTCAGGACTTAGATTAAGTCGGTCAAATTCCAAAGCTCTTGGTTCTTGGCC